TTGCTGCTCTGCAATGTTAAAATGGAATTAAGATTAAGAATACATTGGGTTGTTGAGGACAAAATGTATGAAAGGTATGTTGTAAATATCCCCAAGCTGAGTATTATAAACCCAGGAAATACCCAGAATTAAGGTCATATTTGAAAGAAATCCAAACAAATTAGGGTATGGAAATGCCCAGCTGTAGCCTATAGTGACACTGAAGATAACACAGAACTCACCTTATCTGTGACAATGTGGGGCCACAGGCATTTGGTGGTTTTATCAGGGCACTGAGGGGCAGAGCTGAAACAATGTGTGCACCTTGTTAGCACATTTCAAAACCTTTTCTCCCTTAGTAAAGTTTGGCTTTGAAACAAATGCAACGTTTCTATGAGTTTTCTTAAATTTTGGGAGCAACTTGAATGCTTACTTTGGTAAGCATCTGGGTTTATTTTTTCCATTTCAGAGACTAGGCTGTTAGAGATTTAATGCCACTCCTTGGCCTATACGTGGGTCAGCAACATCTGTGTATTTCACCAACATCCATGTCAGACCAATGTAAGAGATTGACAGGTATAGATTATAAAACGTAGAGGCAGCACTGTCCAAGTGTTTGGCTGATTGGTACATTGTAAGGTAAGCTCTGGCTGTACAGGTTGGATGATTTTGGAAAGTGTAAAAGCCAAGTAGGTACGTGGGCTTTGTAATGGATACCACACAGCCTTTTCATCTGGGGAGTTTCCGTGCACAGAAGTCAAACCCTTGCTCAAGGCCACAGTGGAAATTGGTGGTGTCAAGGCTGGGATTAGTGGTTAGATAGGCTAGGTTATTTTTTGTGTCTTTTGTGTGTGATTTCCGCTGGGCTGGACTGCATCTCTCATTAACTGAAAAAAAAAAGATTGATGTCAGCGGAAAAATGTGTGCATTACAATTTTCCATGACTTTGACATGTTCTCTAAAAATCCCTTAACTCATTTAAGTTCTGTCATTTTTGAGCCAGCTTAAGCTGTGAACGCATACAAGCACACGCACATACTCACTGATGTACGTAACCGCTTACTTTGTTGTCTGGGCTGCATCCTCCAAAGTCACTTAAGAAGCAGGCCCTGCCGGAGCAGACTGCTTTTATGGTCCTGCTAATGAAACAGGAGCCTCGTCCAGCTCGGGTGCCAGAACTTGAAATGGATTTTTCCCCAGGGAGCTGTGAAGTTCCTTCATGTGGTGCAATGGGATCTCCTTGCTGATGGAAAGGCCATCGCTGCCGACTGCAAACTGGGGGACTTGCCTGCGCCCCCTCCAGTGCTTCCCTCCTGGCAGCTCCTCCTCTTTCACACCCTGAGCTTGTTTTAGCAAAGGTGCTTTTTTTGCCCTCTGCCACATCCTTTTCCTTAATTTATAGGAGGCAGCAGCTGGCCTGGAGCCATGGTAGGAATAATTAAGGTTAATAATAAGGTTTATCCATTCAAATTTGCAGAGTGAACACGAACTGATGGGAATCTTTCAAGGAAAAACACCCAACATATCCTGGAGTGCTCTCCTCTAGGATGCTTTTCTGCCAATACCCATCCCCACCCGAGGCAGGCCATGATGCTGATTGCTCCAGAGTCCTTGCCTGAAGTCTGTTCTCCTTTGTTCACTGAAATAAATTTATACTTCTCCTTGCTAATGCTGTCAATCTCTTTGCCCTCAAGAAATAGGTTTGCACTCCATCTGTGTCGGCAGAGCACTGGTGTATTAAGTGGTAAGAGCAGTTACAGTTTGGGGCTAAAAGGGATTTCAAAAGTTGTAGTTTTCTGATGACTTCAGAGAGGTTTGCTTACATCCGAGTGGCCCATGTTCATCCCACAGGACACAGAGACAGCCTTGAGATCAGAAGGGAGCAGCGATGGCCTTACCTAAAAGACTGCCTGTAGTTACTGTGGCTGGTCTAGATTAATTTGGTGGCCGTGATGGCTTCTAAAGGTGCTTCCTGTAGGCCTTGGGTCACACACCTCTTAATGCAGAGACTTGTTCTGTTAAAACAAAATGCCATAATCTGTTTTCAAGGACCAGCTCCCCTTTCAGCATCTTGTCATCTCGCTGATGAAGTTCATTACTTCTTTGGTAGGCATTTCCAGATTGGCAGGCGCCTGTCTGATGAGACTGGTGTTATTCAGACAAAACAAATTGTTCTTTGTTGACGTAATGGGCAGGAGTCAAATCTTTCTTTTTCTTTACTTTGTCATCGCCTATCACTTTTTTTTTTGCCCCACCTTGGAAGTTTTGTGTAGAACCAAAGCCACTTACATGTGGCAGGGCAGAAGATGTGTGCAGCCTCTTGGCCCTGCCAGTGGATACTTGCCTTTCTGGAAAACAAATAAACAAAAAACCCAATATAAAGGTAAGCCAAAAATAGCCCAATCGTGCAGAGAGCCTATACAACACTGAAAACTTGTTTGTGTGTTGCTGAAGCATGAATAAAGTGTGACTCTACCCAGAAAATCCCTGAAGTGTGATCACATTGCAGGCACTGCCCAGAATACTGAGAACAACTCCAGTCTTGTTCCCGGGATTGGTGTCTCGCCTCTCCACGTCACAGAAATATTGATGCTTTCACTGTGTTTATTTTACAAACGTTTATTTGATTTTTCTCTACAGTTAAAAAGATACCTGTTAATAAAATTCAAGAGAAAATTACCAGTGTATTTTATTCTAAGCATAAGGTGTAATAATCTAGTGTTTTAGGTAAAGTGTTAGACTTGAGGGGCTGGACTTCATTTGTATAAATATTTCATTTTGTCCACGGTAGGAAGATTTTTTTGTCCCACAGAAGTGACCAATTTGGAAGGCAGATTTCATTTTGACAACCTACTTTATTTTAATTGGAAAGTCAACTGGCAAAAGAAGGTGTGTTCTATTGTTCTTTTTCATCCTCTGAAAGAGGAGAAAACAGCGCTACTTTCGTGTTTCTCAGTGTCTTCCATTAAGTTTTATTGGATTTTCTGGGATCCTTTGCAATAGTGTGTTGGAATAGATTTTTGTCCCAGGATTGCTATTTTCTGCTACCTTTAAAAGGAAAGCAGAGTCACTCAAGGGGTAGGGGATAGGAGGGGAGGTGTGTCTGTGTGTATTGACATGCGTTGAGCCTTTTGGAGAGAAAAAATTCTGCCTAATTAATAGTAAAACCTTGGAAGAAACCAAGTCATGAGAATCTGGATGCTTTTTCTTTTCAGAATCTCCTCTGTGTCGCACACTCTCTCCTCTCACGTTCATCCAGGTTTTTTGCAGCATGGTATTCAATACTGCTTATTAAGTCAAAATTAAGTACAACATTTTCATGAGTTTTTATCGTTACTTTTTAAACTCGTGGTGACAAACACTTCATCGCTGTGCCTTGTTCTCCCAGTGGCTGCACTGGCGTGCACGAGGCGAGACTTTCCTGAAGTAGGCGTTCATACTTATTTAAAAATGAGACACGCGTTGGCTCTAGAGTGTGAATAATTCCCTCTTTTGACTCAGGTACTGAAAAACACTCCGTGTACCTGGGGGAATCCATTGAGCAAGAAATGTCTGACCTGCAAGCCCTTGTGATTTATCTCCCCTAGACCAGTCAATCCCCATCAGTTCGTGCTGCCTTTTCTGATTTTACTCTCTATAAAATTTCCCTTCGCCCTTACATTTTGCATAGGTTCATCTTCTGCTTTTGACTCCTCTTGGAGCTCTGAAAAGGCTGAATTAAGTGAATGACTTCCCCCGCATTTCGTTCTTTTTCCTTACATCTTGCTGTGTTTATCAGCACTGGTGCTTCATGCAGATAACAGCAGTGGTTTACCCCCTTAATGACTGCGAGTGAAATGGAGGAGTCATTTTTGGTTGTGCAACCTAGGAGCCTGAGGAAAATCCCTGCTGTCTGTCATCAGTCTACCTCTGCCCCAAAAATGGCTTTTCGACATCAGAACTGCATTAATAAAATGTTTATTTAGCACCTTTCAGGTTGAAGGATCCAAAAGCACTTTACAATTAACTACACACATCATCACTGAAGCGCATCCAAGCAGAAAATCAGCAGACAATTCACTGCATAAATTTCAAAAAGAACAGACTTTTGGCCAGAAAGCAAAGTAGAAGCTCTAATGACCTGCAGCAAACAGGACTCTGATTTTTGGTGTGGTTTTTGGAAGTCTCATCTGAAAAACCTACGTGGTAAAGCTGCGCTCAACTCGATTTAGCCACCTCAGAAAACCGAAGATTTGCATCAGCCCTGCCAAGATTAGAATCTGTGGTGCCAGGGAGTCTGGCCTAATCCTAACCTGGCATTTAGATGACTCATCTCTCACCTCAAGGTAGAGGACATACCCAGGAAGTTCAAGTTGCGAGGATACAGTAACACAGTGCTGGTTTTTAATTCAAAATTCAGATGTTTGTACATGAATAAACATCTCGCACGTACAGTTATGCCTCTTGATGAGCACCAGGCATTCGTTTACGGTCCTGTCACTCTTCCAGCTTTGGGGGAAGGGGAAATGCGACCTCCTGAGCTTTAGGAGCTCGAATGATCTTTCCAGTGAAACGGTAGAAGGCACTTGGCACGACTGAACAGAGCACCTGGAAATTCGCTGTTGGGAATGACCCCGGGAGGACAGAGACACCCACAGTCTTTCCAGCTGCGATGCTGACAGTTCATCAGAAGTATAGGCCAAATATGAACTCTGAGCAATGTCTCCTTTTCTCCAAAAGTATTCTCAAATGCTGGCAATGTCTCGTGAATCCACACAGCCCTGTTCCTCCTTGTGGCAACTCCACAAAAGAACCTGGGCATGAATGTGTAAATGTGGCTTTGTGACTCCTCAGTGCCTCTCCTGACTGTAACGTCGGTCACGTTTTTTAACTTCAGCAAAGAAACATTATAAGGCGATTTTTATACAATTTGAAAGCACTTAATACAAAGTTACATGAATACACTGCATCATATGGCCTATCCGTGGAGAAAATACTGAAATACTACCATAGGGCTGTTCAGTACTAGTTTTGTCTTTCAACTTTTCATCTTAATACTAGAAAATATATAAATCATTTACATGACATTATGCAAAAGAAGGCACAGCCGGTTATAGTTTACACAAGCACAATGCATAATATGCAGAAAAGGGGATTAAAAAGAAGCTTCACATCCTTATTAGATACACTGTTGCAATTCATTAAGAAAAGTACTTCATCGACAACAGAAGTGTTCAACACTTGAGAGCTATGATATAAAAAAAATTATAATTCATTTAATGCAAAACAGATTTATATATACTTTTATATATAAACACTGTTTAAAAATGCTAACATAATAAAAGTAGATTATCCATGTAATGAAAAGTGCAAACCAAAGTAACAGAGGGTTTCACAATGTCCTTCTCATGACACAGGAAAAAAAACGAGCCCATAGGAATGAAGTGTTAAATCCACCAAAAAGTCCTTGGCGTGATGAGGCGTCATCAGGATTTCTGGGCGTTCGGAGAAAGCAGGACTGGGGAGGAGGCTCCGTCCAGGCTGGGGAGTGGCACTGGAATGTGACCATTGAGCAGGGTTGGAAACTGCAAGAGGCCAAAAGGTAAAAATTACTCCTTATCTCACAGCGACCAGCCCAGAAGCACACACGCGCTTGGCGTTAGCAACCGACTCCAGATGTTTCAAGACTTCTCGTTTCCATGCAGAAAGATACGTACCGAATGCCTGCATCAGCCATTAGGAATGTAACAGAGGACGAAAGCTGAATAATTCATATACATACGGGGATGTGGGAATCTATCATTGGCTGTATTTTATCTAAAAGTTCACAGAGCAATACAGCTGTCATCACCCTGCGAAAGTGAACATGTTTTTCAAGCTACCAAATACTAATTAACTGCCATGGTTTTCATCTGCCCTTCATAAAAGCTAAGCAGGATAGAGCTTTGCAAAAGTGAAAGTTGAGACATAGTTTTAGTGCAGAAAAAGGTACAATTGTGAATACAAAACTGGGGAAAATGACTCTTAAGTAATTAGTTTCTCTCTGTATTCACTAAGGAACCATAAGCCAGGTATGCCGGATCATTCAACACGTGAAGCAGAATACATTGTGATTTAGCATTAACCACCTACTGCTGAAATACTGTGCACAAAATACTAATCCAACTATAAGCAGTGTATTCCTAGGCCATGACAGCATCCTGGCTGTAACTTGGCTGCACTGACGTGTAGTGACTCCTAGCACCTGACCTGAGCAAAGCCCAGCAGGTAGGTGAACAGACCTGCTACGGCACGAGGTGGGAGCGATCCCAGCAGCAGATCCCGATCAGGCCTCCAGGCCCAGTTCCACACACACAGCACTCGGTTTCTACTGGTTTGAGAGAGACAGAGCCAATAACAGAGCTCCCAACTCGGAGCGTATGGTGTATTTTTAGCCCTTATGAGACCCGTCCTTCAGCAGCCGACAGTGGTGTAATCAACATCTGCATGTGCGTATCAGCTGCCGATAACAGGACTGCTCTTCCACCGAGGTGTTAGTTAATGATATTTGTATCCCAACACTCGGTTGAAAATCACACCAAGGGAAGCTGGCACCACACTCCCGAGGTGGCCGGGACTGGCTGATACTTCTGTTTTAACCAAATCTCAGGAAATGTTTCCATCGCTTCTGCCAAGATTCCATAAAACACGGAACTTGATAACAAGCTCTTGCTTTTCTAGTCCAGGTTTCTCCAGTGAGACATGTAAATTACATTCATTGGATTTCTAAAGCGAAGAGAAAGAGGGCTGTGTGATCTTTGGAGGCGACTGGTGTGCTGGCACTATGGCGTGAGATACAAACAATGCTCATGTCACGATTTTGTCCTTCCCCTGCGCTCCACCCCAGCCCAGCTCTCTTGTTCTTCTTCCTGCTGTCTCTGTAGGCCCTGGGTCTGGGACAATGCTCTTTATTCATGCCCCTCCATACAGTGGGGATCTGGGACTTGACTATGCCTCTCACTGTTACCATCTATACTGTAGTAACAAAGAAAATACTCTTAATTTAGCACTTAATTCAAGCTAACTTCACTCCTTAAGTCTGGCTGCATTTTCTTGTATTAACCAATTCTGTGTAAGTCTCTCGTTCTCGTTGTTCCAGTTATGTGGTAATTTGAAACTAATGATGAAACTTCAAAATAAGTTTAATTACACAGCAGAGTGACTTCAAAGGGAAGACTTTCCAGGCAGGTCAATATATCAAGGTAAACTGTGTGAAAGGAAACTGCAGATTTCAGTGATGCTCCACATAGCCTGGAAGGGCGTATAGGTGTAGGGGTGTGGGAGTTGCTTACACCTTATAAATACCGAAGGAGATTTTTTTTACAAGTTAGTAAGCATCTACGTGCTGTGTGAGGGAGTATGCATGTAGCTGTGTCCAGCAGTGCCACAACAGGCTCCTCCTGGTTCTTTAAAGGAGGGACCGTGCTTTCCCATAGGCTTACTCTGGGCTTAGTGGGACCATGGATGTGGATGGCTCCCATCCTGTCCTTGTACTCTACAAAGACCAGGAACTGTGGGCAGTGCCAAGCACAGTGCTGCTGTGAAAAGCAGCACAATCCTAAAAGCAAAAGAAATATGGGAAACCATCTCTCCTCCGTGCACACCAGCAGGCAGGTGGCTGCAGAGCTGCCTTGGCCTCCAGCTGCTGGTGGGATTTTGCCTCCTTCAATGACGACCTAATATTCTTCCAGCTCCCAGTGCGGATGATCAGGTGACAGCAAAAGCAGCTGCAGCTCTTGTCTCCATCCCCTGACCAGCTGCATGGAGCATGGGCTGGCTGCTGCAGGCGGCCCTGGGAGAGCTCTGCCCCAACGCCTCCGCAGGCCGAGCCAGCAGCTCTTAGTGGGGTTGGCCAGGCTTCATCTGCGGTTGTCGTTTCCGATTTGGCTGTTAAAATAAAGCTTCGTGCTGTACAGACTTGCCACTGTGACCTTTGCCTGAATCAAACATCGATTAAAAGGCCCTTTGGGGCTCTCAGAAGGGAGACAGCCGAGGCCACTCTACACTTCCAGTTCCCGCAGGGGGTGGCCAGTCTTTGTCCCTACAAGCTCATTCCAGGCTGTGGTGCAGACACTTCCCTCCCAAATGCAATATCTGGCTGTTCTTAACCACATGTGGAAAACTGTGAAGCCCCGTAATCGTTATTTGCCTCAGACAGCCACTGTGAAAAGGCACTGAACAGAGACAGATGTTGCCAAAGAAGGAATGTGGGCTGATGTGCTGTGCAAACAGAAGACCTTGAGAAGCAGCAAAGCGTGAGGAGTTGATAAGGTTGGGTGTGGGAGATGAGAGGGCATCCCAAGGAGCTGGAACAGCCCTCTCCCAAAACCTCTCGCTCTTCAACAACCACAAAATGACCTTTTGCTTCATTGTCAGCCAAATGCAAATAACAGGTGACACCCATGAATATGGAAATGAGGATTAATGAGTACATGCGTCGCATGTAGAGGCATGGCTGTGTATTATGACCGCATGTAAGGGTATACCCTTCCTGTGTCACTGACTGACCAGGTAACACAAATGTGGAAGCATAAAAGACACCTCCAGCTGAAGCCACATGCATTCGCCATCAGTTTCTTACAGGGACATCACAGGAACCAAGGGTGATGACCATTCCCCTCCTGTTTTTTTTTCCTTCCTTCTTTTCTCTCTGTTCCCTTTCTCTTTTCTCTCATTGTCTTTTCTTGAAGCCTTGGGCCAGGTATTTGCCATCGTATGCCTTACAATCTCATATTTAGCTAAAATCAGGGTTGTTACATCTTTTGCCAAGACTTTTGTAGACTGTACTTGCCAGTAATCAGTAGGAGACATTTTTAAGCTTGCCGTGTCTTGCATTCCGAGCCAGAGCTGTCACACAACTTGGTTTCGCCACAGTAGCAGTTGAGACAAAAACTATGGTCCAACAGAGTAAAATTAATTTATCTGAAACACAAATAAGGAGCCCTAGGGCTCCATGCTCATCTGTCCCACTGGAGGTAGAAGGATTTACTACCACAGTGAGGACCACACCAGCCCTGGAGTTGGGGTCTCCCTGAGGGTTCAGAGACTGACACAGCATCCCTGTCTGGCAGCAGCCCCATCCTGTGTTAGTGGTGGTCCTCCACAGCAGTCACAAAGTTAATTCCAGGGGCGTCCCCTGCATTTTTCAGCTGCTCAGATGACCACCAGCTTCTTGTGCTTCTTGCCAATCAGCTGCTCAGCAGAATTTCTTCCATGACTTACTGAATCAGCTGTTTTGCAGCAGCTACAGCTGGAGCTGCTAATGCCATCCCCACCACCTTCTTCCTAAGCCTCAAGCAAATGCTGCAGCTGAGTGCTGTGACCATCGTGGTTTACTTAATAACTTCTGTATTTACCAGATCTCTATAAAACTTTGCTATTTTTTTTACTCTCTCAATACCCATGAGGGAGAGGGGACAGTGCTGCCTTTCTCCTGTCACATACAAGGAGGTGATGTTCAGAGGTTGAGGACACACGGACAGTTTGCAGACCTGGAAATGGAGCCTTCAGGTTCAGAGTGCCCTTACTGTAAATACAGCTATGCCTTGTCTTCCTGAGGGAGAAGCAGCTCATTAAGACGTAAGGATGAACCTACATCCACCTCGCTGTCCAAGACCCAACCTGGTCGTGGTTCTTCCAGAGTCCATGTTCCACCACTCTCCTGGATGGTCCCTGACTTGTCTGCACTCTCTTCCTGAAGCTCTCAGGGCTCAGTTACCTACTCTTACTGGGGTCCAGCATTTATTTCTGTTTCCTTCATGCAATGTCTGTGCTTGCTGCAGCAGACACTGCCCTGTAGGTTCTGAATGTGCTGTCAAGGGTTTAAAGAGGGTACAAGGAAGTAGGCCTCTCTTCAAAAGTGCCTGCTAACTCCTGTATTTTCTTAAACTATTTGCAAAGCTCCAGATTGATGTGAGGAGATGCTCCCCTGCTGTCCCTTTCACACGTGTGCTTTCAGAAATGAAACCTGTGCATTGGAAAGACCTACCTGGAAGA